CACACTCACACACACACACACACACACACACATACATCCACATTCTCCTGCCTCCATCATGCCCCGAGGCCCGAGGTAACCGTGCCCTGGAGAATGGAGAAGCCAAAAGAGATCCCCATCTTTATTATGATATTATGCGGGTTTTTTCGGGGGGTTTTGAGTTTTATATTCTTTTTTTTTTTACATTTGTTTACTTTTCTTTTTGAATTATTTGTTCTGAGTTTTACGGCACTTGCAAAACAAATAGCTCATATAAGTCCCATTTTATTATTGTTTGCTTATTAGTTTGCTTGACTGAGTTGTTGTTGTAGTTGTTCTTTTTGTTATTGTTGTTGTTGTTGTTGTTGTTGTTGTTGTTATTGTTGTTGTTTTTCTTTCTGCAGCTGTTGTTGTTGCTGTCGTTGTTGTTGTTGTTGTTGTTATTGTTGTTGTTGTTGTCTTTTGTCAATTTGATGAACATCAAACACGTACTTTTCACTGTCACTGGAATCCTACAAAATGTGAAAAATATGTATAATAATTATGAACCTTGTAATTATAGAAAAAAAATCACATGTAAGTGTAAGTTTAACATTTAACAAAAAAACAATTTCTTTCGTGTGTTAGGCGTAAGTTTTCTAGCAAGTTTTAAATATACCGGTATCGTTTATTGTAGTTGTGTGATATTGTTCTTTTTTGTTTAGGAACATTGTATGTGTCAAAATTGTTCGTGTAAACATTGTTCGGGACTACATTATTGGAGTCAGCATTATTTGTGTCAACATTATGTCAAAATTATTTGTGTCGTTTATGGTAACAGTGATTGTGTCAGTATTGTTTGTGTCAGAATTATTTGTGTCAATATTACTTGTGTCAGAATTATTTATGTCAGCTTTGTTAGTGTCAACATTATTTGAGTCAGAACTGTTGGTGTCAATATTGTTTGGGTCAACAAAGCTCACATTGGTCCTGTTACATTTGTTTCCAGCAATGAAAAGTGAAACAGATTTCCTCAAAGAACTGCTGAATGATAAGAGAGTAAGTTCGACCTGTCCGTTTCAACCATCAATTTTATTTAAGAAGCGCAACTTCAGAATTTAACGTCCGTCTCCGACAGCCAAAACGGTTGAGAACCTTGAAATCTCAAACCGCCCCCCTTCCTAAGAGCGTCTAATCGGAGAATCAAACCAAGACCACCCGCCCGTAGCGCAGCCTGATCTGATACTAGCTGAGCTAACGGAGCTCCCCTTGTGGGATGGTTATAGCATGTCCCTCAGCATATTTAAAAGCTGATCGTGAAATACCACAGTATAATATTACTAAATGTAATGCCGTGCTATGTCTTTGGTGAGAATATGTGATTATGCTTCAGCTGGCTTCATTTGCAGAGAGAATGGTGGAAGGATTGTATTTGTTATAAATGTTGATATTATGTGTATGTTGCTGCTGTTGTGTTGTCTTGACTTAACCCTTGAAGTGAACTTTTGTGGGGAAAATAATCCTGGCATAGCACTGCGCTGTAGATGGCTTTATTTGTTTGTTTGCTGGAGTTGGTTTTTTTTTAGGGCAGTTTTGTTCTGAGATGTGTGTGTTGTTTGTGTGTGTGTGTGGGGGGGGGGGGGGGGGTTATTTTGTACATCAAGGCAACGATGCACATTATACTACAGATAAATCTGCTCTAACGGCCACCTGTCCAAGACAATCGCCTTTACAAACGGCCCCTTCCCCCCCCCTTCCCTTGATCCTTAGGTATGTATACATTATAATGACAGAATTAAGATGTCCACCTATCTAAGTCAAGCACTTTTCTCTTCGACGATGGCTGATCGTCTTGGACAATGAGGAGTGTATTGCCACTGTGTACATTTACGTAGACCCTTGACTTGTCCAATTTGGGAACATGAAGGATCTTTCCTGGGTGGCGACCGTTGTGTTCAGATTGTATGTTCTGCTTAAGTTTTATTAAGAGTTTTACAACACTTGCAACGTAAATAGAGTGGCGTCGGTAGCCTAGTGGTTTGGCTACTAGACTCGTAATCATAAGATTGTGGGTTCGGGGGTTCGAGCCGCAGCTCGGTCCGACGTTGTGTCCATGGGAAAGGCACTTTACACGAATTTCCCACTTGGCTCGTCCTTAATTCGGAGATGGACGTTTAACTCGGCGATATGCCTCTTAAATAGCCTAACAGTGTCGATAGGGGCGTTAAACCTATACGATTTCACCCTTTCAACGTAAATAGCTTATAATATTAGGTACGGAAGATTTGAGGTGTTGTTACTAGAGGAACAGAAGGGGGAGCGATAAGGACATTATAATATACAGTGGCGGTTCGTGGTTTATAGAACTGACCAGCCATCGTTCACATCGACTCTTCTCCCTCCCCCCACCCCCTTTCTTCACAACACACACACACTCACACACACACACACACACA